CCTCCATCCGGTGCGAAACTAGGCTTGAATTTAAAAAAATGTTCATTACCTTCCAGTCTGGATGAACTAGCAAATCAGTAACTTCCAAAACCAATGTGTAAGGTGGTTGATAATATGGGGGCTTGACTGGATCAGGCAGAAGTTTATCGCTAACAGGATCTCTTATAGACTACAGGCTCAATGAAACTATGGGCATACATTACCTGGTTGAAATCAAGAAGATGTCTGAAACTTCGGTAAACGTACGCCTGAAACGTAGGTACTGAAGCATACAATAAATAAGTACAAACTAACGGTCTGTGTATTTGTCAACTATCTGCAATATAAATAAATAATGGAAAATAGATGAACCTCATTTCCTTCTTCGCTGCGTTCAGGAGGGCCTTGATGATATAAAAATTTAAAGCTAAAGCAGAATTACCATATCTGAAGACGACGCTTCCCAGGAAAAGAGCACCAAAGCCGGTGAGTCCCATTAAACCAGATTTCCATGCGTTTCGTCCCGTCCAATTGGACCATTTGCTTTTAGGCTCCTCATTTGGCGTATTACTTAGCTGCGTTTGCTCTCCCGACCCACTGATGGTTCGGCAATGAAAATCGCCTAATAAAGGGGCAACCCTAAACTTAGATAACGGGAGAAATCGGCCGGCATAACTATTGAGCATAACGAGGGGACGTAAAGCATGCCAAACGGTACTGAATCTTGAGCCCTAATGCAACCAAAAATAGAATCCTCGTATAATTATTTATTTAACCGCTTGTCATTTGATTATGTATAAATAAACCTTGGACTAGTTAGTGTTTGTACTTATTTGACGGCGCGTTTTTCATCCCTCGTCGGATGCATGTTTCTCCCTTCGCAAAGTCGTTTGCTTCGGAAGGTGATTGTGTGATAATTATATATGGCAGAGATGACACCATACCAATTATACTTAAGGCCAATGATCTTATTCAGACCAAATATGGTGCTTTGAGGCATAACGACATAATTGGGAAGCGATACGGATCTCAGGTTATAAGATATTTGTTTGATAGACTGATCAACCTTGAAATATTATTACCTTGCTTTGATTTAACTTCTCTTTTTTATAAATCAGGTTTACCTTATCCTTGAAAAGCATATTTATTTAAGCCCTACCAATTTGTTTTTTCTTTCATTTTTTGGGTCTTGAATTTATCGATTTTTTTATATTCTAATAATTAGCAGTAGCAAACTTTACTTATGACTTCTGATAAGATTACTAAAATGCCACTCAGAGCTTGTGGAATCCATACTTAGGATGCGTTTTATTAATACAGTATTTCTGCTAAGCAGCTTTTACCGAACAGTGTCCTTCATACCAGCGTGCTGTAATGTGTTATATAGGGAGCATGTAACTGTCTATTCAATTTATGGTGATTCGGGTTTATTTACCCAAGAATATAATACTAAATTTCTCGGCTTACATATGTCTGCCTTATTAGTCACTTACGTGCCTTATCTTCACTCTTCTCTCTCTTCAGATCCCAACCTCCCGTGGCCATGTACACATTCTGGCTCTTAATCCTGTCATCTGGTCGCACAGCCTACCACATCGCACCCAGATCCTTTATCCTCCTGACATCAGCTTAATTGTTGGCTCACTTGATCTACGACCTGGCCGATGTGTTCTTGAGGCTGGCACTGGCAGTGGCTCGCTGACGCATGCTTTGGCCCAGGCTATCTGGCCAAATGGTCGTGTTATTACCTTCGATTTTCATGAGCTGCGTTCCCAGAAGGCCTCTGAGGAATTTAAGGTTTAGAACATATATTTAGACAAAGTTTTGTTTAAGCGTTCACTTTGCATGTCTATTTGTTAGTTGTTCTTCTATCCTCTAGACAACGGGCTTTGCAATAGAAAGCTATTTCCATTGGCCTGATTTGAAGCTAGTTAACTTAATGAATTTACATGTGTACATGCCAATAATCATCCCTGATTTAAATATACTTAATTCCTAGCAATTTTGTTTCGTATTGACCTAGAATTTGCATGTCATTCATCTTATTCTTGATGCTTTTAGTTTGGTTGTCGGGCTGTGCATTTTAGGATTTCTTGATATTTGGACCTTGATTGTCTTTCCTTTAAGACTGAGGTAGACGCTCCACTGAGTATGGCCAAAGCCCTCTCAGTGGCATTCTTAACAGTTTTCATGCAGGCGAAATGGGATTATAAGCCTTTTGCACAGGCCTTGTTCACCCGGTAGCCTATTTTGGTCTGCATTATTTTTGGAAGTTAGCAGGTGATTATAGCATGATCTGAGGCTTATACCTTGTTCTATTATTTATTCCTCCACTTTGTACCTCCGAAATTTGATCTCGTTTGATTTGTATAATATTATTAATTGACCCTCGTTGTACACCAAGATTTTCCGAAGCATGCTTTTTTTCTACAATGAGTGAATTCCTGTTTAGCATGGAGTAATTTATGTCAG